AATGGAGCTCCGCTTCCAATATACTCGCCACAATAAGATCACTAGAATTCACGGTTTTCTTGACAGTTAAGAAGTTTCTTGTGCAAGGAAACAGGCACTTCTTTCAAGGACATATAAAATGCAAGATTTTATCCAGCCAGTCTGACGACATTCGCGTGCCTTGTCTCGATGCGCAGGATAGAGACCCTCATCAATAGCTAAATGTGGTCAAAGTATCGTTCCATCAGGCTGTCTATGGCTTGACTAACAATAGTTAGATGAAGAGTGGATATCACAACGTTTTGGAGAGACATGTGATTGCGTCCAAGGTCCCCACTGCACACATCCACGATTTTTGGAAAAAGCCATAAAGCAATTCTTCACCTTGCGACTTCGCGAAAATCATTGATGTGACTCATTTCCGTAATCCTGTACTGCATTTCAATAACAATCAAAGCCTTAGAAGATGGGTAATTGATCTGAATGTTTGTGATCACTCTATTTGATACCTTCGTTTCGCGCTTAGAGCATAGCGAATAGTAGGTCGGCCCATAAGCATCAACGATTAGATCTTGTTAATTCTAATTGTTTGATTAGGGCTCAAGACGGTATTCAATAAAGCAAAACAAGCTCTACGAGATGTTTCTTAATATTCGCACAAGATTTATTCATGTGTGCTTTGGAGCAGCAATTATAACTTTTAAATCACCCAAAAATTGGACCTCCCAGATTACTCTGGTACCAATTTACCGGCCCCGGAGGGTAGAGGGATTGGTTGGCCCTCAGGGCGGGGATCGAACCTGTGTCCGATTTGGTCATAGCGGCGCTTAATACCACTACGCCACTCGTCTCCTTGATGCTACAATACCGCTTGTAATTTGCGTTAAAAGACCGAGGCGACCGCCGAAGTCCGGCGGCAACCAACGAGTTTGCCAAAATCTCGCCATAACTCCGTCCAATGTAGACGATCTACCCAAGAATACCATTCGAGGTTCGGCGAGGCGCATCTTCCGGTATGGAAGTGCCACAACCTGTAGGGCTATGGTAAGTATGCGTTGTATAGTTATTCCCCCACGTTTTTTCTCTTCAAATCTTGGCAGACGGAGCTCAGTGGGTTGATTGCAGTGACCTTCTGTTGAGCATATGTAGTGCAGAGATACGGCAGGTAAACTGTGAGAGCTCATTTTGCACGGATATGTTTGCTAGGGGTTATTCGGTGCGCTGCTTACAACGAACTCAATCATCTGTTGCGATGATGGCATGCTGCAGTCATACGGTGAATATACGGTAGTGAAGTCAGCTGGTATGTTTGCAGCTTTTTCACGCTGTTATTTCAAAGTTTCTTGCAAGAATGGCAAATCAGCATTTCCAAAAGTCTCAAACTGGTGAACTTTTGCTTACGGTCACCATACCTCAACGGTTGGTCGACAGAACAGTAAGTAACTGTTGTTCCTGCGAAGAACAATAGATATATACTGGGAGTTGCTGCAAACATATCGATTAACTTCCTACCGTATAATCACGGTATTAGACCCGTAAGAAAATTCCGGAATGAAATTTCACATGCTTCAACTTTCACAATGATACTTAGTGTTTATGTTTGAATCATCTTGTACAAATTGTTTTGTTTTCCGAATAATAAGTTGAACTTGGATTGAAACGACTTAGCAACGCGTTGATATGAAATACATAGAACAAAATAATAAACACGCAAATAGACAAATTTGAACGCAGATGACCCAGATTAACACAAACCGTTACTGCAATGTTTTATAACTTTGCTACCAGAACAGCATCTCAAAGAACAAGCGTTAGGTGTGAACAGTAGGATACCGCTAAGACAGAGGTGTATTGTGTGTACGTTTCAATTTTATATCCCCCTTTTTACTCTAAAAATCATCTGGAGTAAAATCATCTGGAGCTCAAAAAGATTCGGACCAGCGTTGAAGGTACATTCGCCAGAAAAGTACACTAGGCAAAAACTTGCTTAGCGCGAAGTTTTTATATTATTTTTTCACCCATTGCAAAAATTAGCACCTCCCCTTCTTCGTTGAAACTCAAAATGTATTGTATAATTACGCAAGCAACATGTTTTTATTAGGTCAGTGTGGAAGTTTTTTGATTAGGCTTGGGTAGTGTAAAGTCTCAGCAGTAGTTCTACACAGGTGCTACAATTTTGCGCCTACAATTTTTTTTTCTAGTAATTGAGTGTGAAGCCAGAAGAGCAGAAATCTGTCATCTTCATTTTTGTTGATTTTTTAATTCCTTCAATTATTTGCAAACCCGTTACATATATGAGATAGAACAGAGCTTAAGCTATCCGCGCTGTTTTATGGATTCGTGATCTCCAATGAAGTATACAACACGAAAAGATTTTTTGGCTGTAGTTTCAAGTTATTGTTGATAATCCCACGAAATTGATTATTCCGCTATCAAGAAAGTTCACTAATATTCTGCTGTAGATTACAGATGGTCTTATCCAGCATGTAATTTTACAGCTTATTGTTGCATTACGAGCAATCACAATGGCTCCGATAGATAGGAAAATGCAAAAGGTCAAAGCAAAAGAGAGTTTATTGGAAAGTGTACAATCTCCCATTTTCTATTTACGAATTTAGTCATTCCGAGGTAACTTCGGAGTGACCTATGATTTGCAAATAACTGACAAAATTTTATAAAAGATTTAGTTCAGCTTCTGCAAAGAAAAAGTTTTGCAGACGATTGCAGCCATGATTAGATCTCGTGTAACATCAGAAAGATCGGAAACTCTACAAATGATTTCTGAAAGCTACATTCATCTTTTATTCGGGAAAATCTCTGCTTTTATTCGGGAAAATCCTTTGAGAGAATTTCTAGGACCGTCACTGTTAGCTGCAAATGCCTATGGTTGAGGTTCTACTCAAACGATGGAAAAAAGTGGATTCTGTTATAAACGGCTAGTATAGTGTTGGTGAGGGAATCGGTGCTAAGTGGTGCTCCATCATGCTCGAGAAATCTAAGATCCCATTAGAGCATGAGAAAATGGGCACGCTAACTGTAAAATTTGTTTTGCATGTGCATCTGTCGCTTCGGGGAGCTGAAAAGAGATTTCCTGACGTGCTTTGATTGCAAAATTTTTGGAACAGACTTCTGCATAGTACAGACATCTCCCAGGCTTTTGGGATTATCTCCAACGTGAGGTGCATAACTGGATTTGAAGAACAGACAGTGAAGGGCCTTTTTGTTGGAAGGGTAGAAGTAGGAACTAACTTCGAAGAAGACCGGAGAGGCATGCAGAAGATTTTTGCTAAAGTTTTCTATTTGTGAGTACATTCAAAAGTCGGCACATGAGCCCATATGTACGAATAATAGCTTCGGAGTGTGTAAAAAAGGAGTAGAACATCTGCCACGACGTAGTTGTTGTGACTCTCTTCATATAATTTCCGGTGGAGGGACTTCCGGATAGGTAAAAGCGTAATGCTTATGGTGAGGTAAATCATAAGCAAAACTCCAAGAGAATCGAGAACATGAGCACGGAGCATTGAGACATTTCTCCTCGGCTAATAATAATTAGCAACGATACGTCGTGCACAACCTAACGTGCATATTTACGAAGGCTGTGCCCGCCGAGTAATGAGTTAAGCCTTGCACGCGTACAATAAAATAGGGATCTGACGCGAACAAGTGGCACTTCAGCTGGGAGCACAAACGTGTTTAGCCGAACGAAGGCGACGCGCCAGCACCTCCATCCATAATTGATGTCGGCTCTTCTAAACGCTCCTTCGAGAGCCGCCGTTATGCGGCTCGGCTTCCGACTCGATTTGTTGCTGATCGCGACGAACCGTGCGACTGCGCACAGCGAGAGCCCGATTCGACTGGCGCGAAGGAGTATGTTTGGCACACGTATGTCAAGATGTAAGTTTAAAGGTGCCAGTGCGGACCTGATGTGAAGGATAAAGGATTCGGAGCCTTCAATACCCTCTACGGGCATGCTCCGAGCGCGTTCTACTTCTTGGTCGAGGAGGCGGGTGAATACGTGCAGGCCTTTTACGATGACTTGGGGGGGGGGGCTAGCCGATCATCAAGTCAGTGCTTTGATGCTCCCAGATTACTTTGGTACCGATTTACCGGCTGCGGGGGGTAGAGGGCTTGGTTGGCCCAGGGAGAGGATCGGACCTAGGTGCGATCTGGTCATAGCGGCTCGTACCACTACGCCACTCGTCCCTCCCTCCTCCCTGTGAACCCGTTGTGGTGGTACAAACTGTTGAGTATAGTCATGAAAGGAAAATAAGAAAATTTTTGTTTACTAGAGAAAGGTAACGCCTATATGGCACAAAAGGCCATTTTTGATGAGAAACATGCGCTTTGATGAAATCTATATGACAAAGCTAAATAATTTACGAAAGTCCCATATAACGTTAGGTTGCACTAAACACTAAATTACTTACTCCAGCAACTAACATGGAAGATAGTTTTTATGAACAAATTATCACCTTTATAGCAGAATTTTCTACATAGTTTTTGACGTATGAGTGGGCATAGAAATGGCAAAGAGTCATGGAGCAGATTCATTAGCAGCGTCGTTGAAACTTCTTAAGTGGTGAAACTTTTGCTTATAAATTGATGAAGGCAAGTGGCCATATGAGGTTCACACCGGAAGGATGAACATGGATAGCATCAAGGCAGCAGTTCTTGCGTCAGGACTACGATTCCTTCGCTGGGTAGCAGCAAAGCCGATGTATTTGAAGAAGGTATCTAACAAATAACCAGCCAATTTCACAATAAGTGGCCCTGTGTCTCTTATATTGGCTTTGCGATAAATAAAAAAATAAATAGGACTTTACGTAATGCTGAACTCGAACGGGAATAATCATAAGAAAAGAAAGTCAGAAAGACATGGTGCATTCTTGGCCCCAGATAATAGCAATTATAAGGTGGCAAATTTGAGACGTATTCGGAAACAAGGAAATGCCAGGACCTCGTCCGGAAATATTCTTGAAGGTTAAAACTGCTACACATCTCACTAAAGAACTTTGACTCACTGACTCGGCGATGGTTGTCGATTCGCCTCCTTCATTCTGGTCATCAACAGTGCGCATGTCTTGTGGTCGCTCACATCCACAACTCTAGAAATATCAGCATTCAGCACGAATTCTCCGACTAACCAACACTGTAATCAAAACAACTGCTCTTTAGCGCGACATCCACACCCTATGCTGAGCTAATTGCCTACTTGCTATTCGCTTCTCTGAATAACGTAAAGCAGCCGCCAACATTGAGCTGCATAAAAAATGAAAGTCATGATAAAATGAGCGCGGTTTTTGCTTGACCGGCCTCAACGTTTTCTTTTCCTTTTTTTCTTTTCTCTCTCTCTCTTCACGTACATTGTTCAATGGAGAAAAATACAACAGAACTGTAATCGCCAAATGAGATAAAAGAAGTAAGTCCTTCAACAAGATGCAGGAGTTGTGGTTCGTTGAGTATCTTCAAGAACCTTTACCAAGATGCAGGAGTTGCGGCAACTGTTCAAATTTTTACTGCTCTAGATCTCTTTACTCATGCCTGCTAAACATGATGACAAGGGAATGAGAAGTCGAAGTGACAATCAAGGAGCTGCATACCATTTGATGCATCATAAAACGCTAATACCAAATCCAACTTTCCCATTTGTCGAACGCCTCCGCATGCGAAGATATGCCAAATTCTCGTTGCAAAGAAATGGTGTATACAAAGCGCATGCTTAGACATATGCATGTACACATGGCTCAAGTCCAAGCTAATAGTCGAGCTCAAAATGCGACAACGCAACAGAATTTGAGATTCGCTCATAGCAGTCCTTGCAGTAAAGTTGGTCAGAATGTCACTTACTACAGAGGCGTTTTGCAGATAGGCAAGACTGGTTTGTATACACTGATTTTGTACTGCATCGAATTGTGTGCGCAGCTCCTTGTCTCCTTCTGGGTATTCAGCAGCTGATGAAACAAACATGTTTTTACGTTCAACATCTGCGTGAAGTTGTCAAAATGTACATATGTGCAAGCTTAATTTTGTAAACTTGTTAACAACTTTTGCAAGCTAAAAGAGAAGTGCAGTACTGCGTGATAGTGAGTATGCCTTTGCTGTCCACCTGAAGTGCGAAGCACATCCCCAATGCACAAGCGTTCTGTGCAATGACACATTCCAAATATTAGCGAAATTTTACGTCGTTCAGTAAGTCCCTTCCGTTTTTCGATTAAATACATGAGTGAAGGTAGGCAAAAACTTCAAAAACCATACAACGCAACTTTTCTTCCTCTTTTAGCGATCGTGTTTATTGAGTAGTCCTTTGTGTCACTAAAATTCTCCAAAATTTCATCCATTGCTGTTACCATGCCTAGGTCTGGTAAATTTGCAAATTTCTCTTTGATGTTCTAGAAGAGTTCTGACAACCGATGAATAGAGTAAATAATATGCAAAACAATTACATTTCCGGCATCTCCAACTATCTTTCTGGGGTTATTTCTCAAAAAATTCTCCAAGGGTCTTCACTTTTGCATATTCTTGTCATACACGAAGGGATAAACACTAGGAAGTTTTTTGGAGTGCCCTAATTTCACGGGTACAAGGCGCACCTGTTTCTTTTTTTAGCCTGACACATCAAAATTTCGCGACCAAAAAACCCCCTACCGTGCTGCTCCTTACCTAGAAGAACTGTCTGAAAAAGCGACCATTTCTGAGCCAGTGTAAAATGAAAAAGGAGCTTCTGGTATTGGTTATTTTAGGGTAATTTCTCAGTATTTATAAGCTCCTGCAAGACGAAGGCGGTCGATTCAATGCGCAACGCGGCTGCGACATGGCTGCGTCACAGCCGAGTCACAGCCGCGTCACAGCCACGTCGTACCTCGAACCGACCGCCTTCGTCTTGCAGGAGCTTTTAATTTCCATTTAATTCGAAAATTTTGCTTTTTTAATTTCCTTATTAGATTGATTTTCCAAAAATCAAAAAAGTGTTCATCGCTTCAAAATATAGATATTGGAAATTCGTGTATAGCCAGTAACGCCTCCAAAAATTTACATTCGTGATGAATTCATTTATGAAGGTTCCTCAAGGCGGAAAGAAGAAACTCCTTTCAGAAAGAGTAAAGCTGCATCGAATAATATCCATGCTCGTTGTTTATTGTCCTGTGAGTTTGACTTAACTGAATAAAGAAACTGATCAGAAAAAGTCCAGACACTTTTTAAAGCAAGCTGCAAGACCAAGACAAAAATTGTACGGCGCTACATACTTTATTCATAAGTTGCCAAAACTCTTCCAAAAGTTCAAGATGAAAACTTAAAAAAAACCTGGGCGTGATCAAAACCATGGGTTCGAATTTTCACCGATTATCCCAGTGATTACAAAAGGAAATGGTCAGAGCACATGGCTAAAAAGAGGAACAAATATTGCGTTGAACACGGTTATAAGAGGTTCGCACTTAATGCTTGCTAATTATGCGTCTGGAGTAGATGACTTGTTTCAAATGCAATTCAGCGGTTGAATTTGGCTGACAAACAGTGAACTGGAGAATTAAACGTAGTTTGGACACTAAACTTCCCTCTTCTTCCTCAGGGGTAGCCTGACTTTACTCCGCGTGCTAGTTGCTTCTGCAGGTATTAGATCGTGACATAAGTCCGTCCTTTTTCTTTTTGGAAATAAGCTATGCTCCCCAAAGATAACTGACAAGGGAAGTTTATGGTCGAAATAGCCTTTCATATGTGTTCTATACCACTTTGAAGAGCATTGAACGCTGATTTCAAATCTGTTATCGCTATGCGGGTACGAATATATTAGACAAAACATGTGCGCTAGGAACGTGCTGTGATATACTAAACATATGGACGGTCTTGCAGTAACTATGCTTTTGATTTTTGAAAGTGTTTTGACCCAAAGAGGAGATTGGTAGATAAAGAAGATAAGTTCAAAATCATCATTTCATGCTCCTTCATTTGCTGCTGATTTCGTGTGGAAAGGCCACTTTGATTGAAAACGCTTCTTTGTGAGCAATAGCGTTCGTTTCGATAGACCAGCTACTTCCATTCATCGATAAGATAGAGAAAACACGCGATAGAAGCAGAGCTATGCTTTGCTTTTGTCTCCGACCCCTTCATTGCGCGATTTTTCTCGCTTAAGATAAGTTCAGCTTTCGAGTGGTAAGAGAATGGCACTCTATGAGGTCTCATGGTGCAAGCAAAATACGTATATTCTAACAAAGGAACGATACTTGGTGTCCGTGTCCTTTTGAGATGAGATGCACACCATTACACTCGTCTCGGAGGGATTCCAAGTCTGACTTCCGTTTTTGCTAATCGTTTCTCGGAAAGAAGTTGTGAAGGATTTTCGCGCCAAGGGAGATGTGGTCGAAATGCCAAAATCACCGCTAAGATTTGGTGTAGTGGCTAGTGCGATAGCCTCGCAAGTTAATGCAAGCTTAGGTTCAAGTTCTTTCGACTTTTAAGTTTTGCATTGCTTCAATCAAGCTTCCTTTCAAAAATTAGGCATCCTCGACCGTATTTCTTTTAGGCGACCAATGACGCGAAAATCCCTCATAACTTCTTCTAGAGAAATGATTAGCAGAAACGAAAGTCAGATTCGGAATCAGCGTCCCAATACAAATGTGATGGTATGCGTTTCATCTCAAAAGGCCACGGACACCAAGTAGTTTCCTTGTAAGAGTCTACCTGGCAACTCCACAATCGCACAGTAATTAAGTAATTAAGTAATCGCACAGTAATCGCCTTCGTTACTAGGGCAGGAGGTCTTTTAGCACTTTTCATGTTAAGAAAATGTCTTAAATTTGAATTAAGCTTGTCCAAACCGACTGCAACGCTAGCTAGAATAAAATGATAGTGCTTACATATAGAAAAGCTAGAGCGTGCTGACCTTAGAAAAAAAATATTCATGTAGTAACAGTTCAACTTATCAGTTCGTCGGCTCGAGCGATGAAACAATGTGGAATGTGTTGCCTGCGCATCAAGTGTCACCTTTTGCAAACTTAGATTGCTATTACTTACTTTAGTGCTATTATAATGATCTATACATAAACATTCTGGCGAGGAAAGCGTCTCAAATGTCTGCATTTCAAAGTTCTGATAACTGCAGTGCGTCTGAACGCCGAGTTATGAGTGTTTTGAGCAAATAAAGAACATAGGACTTGAACAAAATCAGTCGTTGAAGGCAACGTCCACCCAAATCCTCGAATACCATGTTTTTGCCGTTCCGGTGCCTCCTCATGTCTCTGATTCCGTCTATCAAGTCGAAAATCCGTAGAAACCCCGACACCGTTCCGCAGAACCCAAAGGCCGAGTTCTACGGAACGGTGATTGGTTGGGTGCGCGCGGATGGGTGAACGAACGTCACGACCACTCAAAGGGGAGGAGCCAACGTGACGAATCCGTCATCTGAGGCAAATTTCAAAGCAATTTTCTCGCTTCGGAAGCAACTTTTGACGAAGCGAGTAGGGCGAGTGTAAAACTGGGGGCCTCGCGTTAGGCATCAAAATCTCACCGAACTCATCTTGGGTGGACGGTTTAAGGTCCTTCAGAGCAGTGGTGATAGTATCTTGGACAGAAAGTAATCACTGCTTGAATGCAGCGTCCCGGCAGAGTAGTAAGTACTGGAAATTTACAGCATTGCAATAGTAGACCTCTCAACTAATCTTTTAATGAAATATGGAGCGAAAAAGCGCGCTGGCAGACCTAAAATCCACCTCGGATGCTTTGCGCACTCCGCCCCATCGTTCCGAAATCGCCCACTTACGCGCATTTTCCGGCGAATGCGGATATAAAGAGCCATGGAAAAAACTCATTTTCGCCATTTTCATGCGCTGTAAAGCCCAGATATAGATCAGCACGGTGAAATGGCTCCGAAAGATGAAACAAGCGAAATTTTGCCGGGACACTGCATTTGAAGGCAGTGTCTAGACTAAATCTAACTCCCTCCGATTAGTGTCGATCCTGAATGTAGGCCCCACGAGAGCATCTGTGTTTGTCCGGTACTCTAATGTTGTCTCTGAATGGAGATAAGGGGTCTAGAACAGCCAAAGTGCCATCAGACCCCGCCCAGATTTTATTAGACTACGCCCACCCATGTATTAAAAGCCGTCCGCAC